CAGAGAAGAAGAATTTTCCCCTTGATAGTAATGCAGTATATGCCAACATCAGAACCATTCATCGAGTGTACTGTGTTGACCGTCACTCTGCTTTGCATGTTGTTAACACACTCCTATCTCATTATCATAGGTTGAGACCATTGGTGATGCTTATATGATCGTATCAGGCCTTCCACAACGAAATGGTAACCGCCATTTAGCAGAAATAGCTAATTGCGCTCTGGATCTTCTGAGTTCCACTACCTCTTTTCAAATACGTCATCGCCCAAGCCAGAAACTGCAGTTGCGCATTGGCTTACATACGGGTCCTGTAGTGGCTGGTGTCGTGGGATTGGTTATGCCTCGATATTGCTTGTTCGGAGACACGGTGAATATGACGTCACGAATGGAATCAACAGGAAAATGTGAGTGATTGTTATATGTTTAATCACATTTTATTGTGCAGTTGGTTGGGGTTTGTCTCGTATTGTAATGTGCATTATAATAGCCAGTAATCAGATGTACTGCTTACACGTTGCTTAATAGGATCACTCGGAAACAAAAACAATGTATTGTAACAAAGAAATAATAATGATATATTGCAGCATGTCATATCCATGTCAGTAAACAATTATATACATCATTGAAAGACCTTAATGAAGGATACTACATGGTACCACGTGGAGACGTTGAAGTTAAGGTAAGTTTTTGCCAGTCAGTTTACCTGTGATACATCTCCTTTAACAATCATTTATATTGTATAAATCATCATGTCACGATCACTTATGGTATCGTAATTATGTCTCATTGACCTGATGGCATATAACTTAATATCGATAACCTTCAGTTGAAACGCTATGATCTGCTTGAAAAGTGGTTAACTGCACGAGACTATTTAAAAACATGTTAGAGACGAATGTTTTCTTTCTGGTGTATTATACATACAAGCACAACATCTTGTTTTAATCCAACAATTATAATATATCTTATTTATATACATGAAGGGAAAAGGAGTAATGACAACATATTTCTTATACGGCAAAGATGGTTATAAAAAGGCTCTTCCTAAACTGTCAAAGTAAGTATTTATACCTTCGTTCAACCAAGTGATGCAAGCGATATTAGTCGTGGTTTATTGTGATATTATTTAATTTACATTTGCTGACAATACAAATCACCAGCTGATGTTTTCTAGGTGGAATACCAAGTAAATTAATTGCCAATGCTCGGATTTCAGTTTCCCGTTGACATCTGCGGCTCTTTCTCAACCATTCAACTGACCGACTCTCTATCTGACATACTACTTTCAAGCTACATGCCCAATGTGAGCAATTTTATGGCATCTCTGCAAGAACCAGACTTATTTTAGTCAAGATAGTTGAGGAGATTATGTGCCTTCAAACAAACATACCATCTTGCGACCTTTTAGACCTAATAATGTTTTTGAACTGTAGACGATTTTTCCATTCACCGTACCAATATCTGAAAACCAACGCCCTGTTCGGCAGAATGCTTGTTATTGTAGCCTCCACTTGGATTTGTTTATAGGGCAACGCCTACACCATGCCGCTTTGAACCTGCATAGTTCCCTGAAATATTTACACTGTGAAACCAAGACTGTCTAAATGACATTGTAAAACATCGTTTTGGGGATGTAACTATGCCTTATAAAAGTATAAACAAAACACTAAGCTAGTTCCGCCTTCCTTTGCATCAGGCTAACACCGTCTTAATTATTTTAACCAACAATTGGGGGAAATTGTAGTGTGTTCAGTGAAAGCAAGACTGGTGTAAAATGGTTATATAGACCGGTTTTAGAAGGTTGCAATTAACCTCTACCTGAAGTACTTTCCAAATAATATTAGGATCTAGTATATATCCAACGTTTCGTGTTATTCGTAAATATTATAAATAGTACTGAGTTGTAAAAATTTAGGTCATATTATTCAGTGTGAAAACTTGTATACTTTTATAGTACATGTTCTGACTAAGAAACCACGCAACTAATGAAAAACATTCTGTTTCAGCGAAAGCAAAACTGGTGGCAAATGTATTAATGAACGGTAAGAAACATGTTTAATGTTGATTAAAGTTGCACTCTAAGTTTCTAAAGCTTTATTGATTGAGGTTTGGAATATTATTTGGTGGGCTGATTTTCTGCTAGATGTGAGAAATATTTCCTAAACGTTAAAATCTCAGGATTAATATTGCCGTAGTCAATCTGAACGAAGCTGAAACCTCTGCTACTTTAATACAATTCACACATATTCAGACCATCTAATATGTCTAAAAAAGACTAATGAACTCATACTGCAACATTTATGACTTATTTGTTGGAAAAACCTCTGAAAGACCGTTTGCTACCATAGGCCGAGGACACATAAATCAGTAGAACAGTGAACCTAATGCAAGGGTGAGGGAGGGAAACAAGATAGGCGGCACTCGATAATTTGTTCATACTAATGAATTTTTGGTAGTACCCTTGATAGAGAATTTTATCTGAATTGCGGTAGTGTTATTATTTTCCCCTTTGCTTGAAGAAAATTATTACATAATAAATAAACACGAAAAACTACACATACTATGCAGAATATTAACGTCCCTCTTTTGATTCACATCTATATATAGGGGGAATTCCGCTGATGTCGGTGGTGACTATGAAAGACCTGTATGATAAAGTGTCTAAAAGCCGCCGTAGGTTGATATGTAAATATGAATATGGTAAAATTGTTCAGCCTTGGATAAATAACCTATTATAACAGAGGCGATGTGAGAAAAAAGTGTTCGCAGTATTATAATGTTAGATATGTAAATATTCAATCAAAGTGATAAACCCAATAAGAGATATATATCTTTTTTAGACGGATATCCGTTTTTAAAGTGAAAATATGTAATTTTCTGTCAAAATATACCACAGTATAAAGTATGTAGATTATTTTTGAATACATTTATGTTAGTTTGATGTAAGTGTAAAATTGTGTCTTGCCCATGTGTAAAAATATGTAATTATAAATCTATCGTATCAATTATTTCACAATGATTCCACACATTATTAAAAGTTACGCAATCCATTTCATATACTTATATTAAGTTGTATACAAATACGTTTTTGTTGTATCTTTAAGATAGATATAGTCAAAACAAAATATGTAAAGCTTGTAATTGTCATTTATCTTCATCATAGTCGTTACAATGAAAAGTCAGATACCCAGTACCGTGAATACTTCGAGTCTGTTCCATTCGACAGTGACCACCTGATTTTCGATCTTCCAGAGACGACATATTTGATGTATTTTCATCGCAGAAATATGATGTAATCAGTTGTTTAGCATAAATGATATGTCATGTTAGAAATAAACGTTTTAAAAAATAAAGTTTGTAAATGGAAAAGTTGATGCGTGCGTTCAATTAGGTGAAAAAACTTCGTGGAAACAAAATAATACCGTCGTACTTACCAAGTGATAGTATACATTATTGCTATGCCCGTGACATGTCATTATTTGAAACAGTGATTGTATTGAAGCAATAAAAACATAGTCGAAATCTTCTTTTGTGTTATATAACATTGAATCAACAAACACTCGCAAATAAGAAATTATAAGTGGGAACTTCGAAATCCAAAATACAAGGAACGTGTTCCTGGAAGCAACGACATTAGTTATTGTCTTTGCTGGGAGTTAGTATTTGAACGAACTTATTGCAAACAAATATTTTCACGTCGTAAAGTGACTGCAGTATTACACCTACAATTCTATGAGTATCGCCAAACTGAGCGCATGGTAACATCAAGTTACACGCAGAACGAGTATAAGCGTGTATATTATCAAATATACAGTGTCACTATTGGTTTACTCCTTACACCACACTACATTTAGTAGATTACATTAGTGAATTATATGTACAAAGCATTTTCTATGCAAACATATAACATTACCCTAAACTGTCAGTGATAATATCGCCACACTAATATATCTGTTCTAAACCAATGATGACGGAATAAATTTACCTTCAGTTGTTATTCAAATTGACTCTAATACAAATTACATCGCAATGTTTTTTTCTTCAAGCATCTATAATCTATACGTTTAACACGTGATCGACTAGCGAGATTCACACCCTCCTACCTAAACAATGCCACCAGATAGAAACAGCGTGGACGAGCGTATTACCATTATAATTATTATAGTGAACCATCGTCTCCTTTCTGTACCTGTTGCTTGAAACCACATCGTTGAAAAATACACTTGAATGTTGTATACCTGTAACACACAAATACAACAAATCAATGTGAATGTGCCGTAGAGATGACAAGACGATAGACAATGTTTCACATTGGTATTTTGCTTCTTTAAAAAAGGGTTCGAAGACATTATTTTTTTTCATAAAAGGCGACCATCTGAAACAGACGAGTATGATGCAGAATAACTAATTCAATAGATTGTAATTTCAAGTTCAGCTGAATATAAATTGGAATGAATGTGAAAATTACATACATAACCATAGATTATGCGTGATCATCAACACAAAACTGGTCAAAAAAGTGAAATCATACACTGAGGTTTACCACCAAAAAGAGATATTAGGCGTCTCGAAAAGAGTAAACATACCCTGTCCACATTTGGCAACCCGGCCGCCATAAATCATTCCGAGCCATAATTCAAATAGTTTCTGCAAGTAACCTGAGGTATACATGAGACATGCTTGCGATCAGTGTAATAGTGTTACCATATTTAACTACAAGATATTATATCTGCCAAACAGTTTATTGAATGTAAAAACTAGTCGCTCTGTACAAAAGCAGGCCCTACGAATACGTATGGCACACACTGTCTCATACTGTTAAAAAGTGAGACTTCTGTATCATTAACAGAAAAAAAACTTAAAGTACCAGGAAAAATGCATATTTTTGAACGCGCTGCATATTTTTCAAGGCGGTACATTATTCATGGAAAATCATTTTCCAGAATCTCCATGTATTTTACTATGAATTCACAAACAACAAAGCTTTGTATGTGAGAGATATGTCCAGTTTATTAAAAATATCTGTAATATGTGCACTGGGTGAATAGTTATGCATATAGTACACAAATAATAGAGCTATTTAAAATTGAACCCTATTCATAACTGAAGAATCGAAACTGTCAAATTCCCATTGAGATTACGATGTATCACAATCGTTTTTTAAAAGTGAGATTGAGATAAAGGAATACATCTGTCAGTAAGGGGACACAGTTTGTACCCATTAGAATGACGAATCTTCCAAACTTTCACAATTATTTTGAATGGCCAGTACATGATTAATGTAGTAATTGAATGGTATATTAGCAGACTCAGCTTCACTTGTTTTACACTTCATATATTAACAAAATTAATTTACCTGTGATGGAAGATGGCACGATTTGTGTTGTTGATGTGGGTTTCCACAAATATCGATTGCAGTGCATAATTTTCAATGAGTTAATGCGGGTGGAGGACAAAGATTCGTGAATGCATAATGCTACATCCTTAGAATTGTAACGCCAATATCACTTAATTCATTTTGCAGTTCCGGAATTCCATGCAGTTTGACCTTGTTGCCCTTCGTATATTGTTCGCGTGGTCTTCCATGTTTGTACTGTATTCATCGAATATTTTGCT